ATCAAAGATAACAGCAAGGAGATTGAATTCATTTGGGTTTCTATTTGTGGATATACAGGGAAAAGGCTTTTAGTGGAAATTTGTTACAGACCACCAAATGATACTGATGAAATGAGATTAAGATTTCAGCTGATAATTAGGGGTGATTTTAATTTCAGGCATATAGATTGGGAAATGATAGAGTCAAATTATGAGGGAGAAAGGTTTTTGGAAAATGTTCAAGATGGCTTTCTTCACCAATTAGTCAAAGAACCTACTAGAAACAATGCTATTTTAGATTTTAGTTTGCTTGTTTGTTATGAATTTTGTGCAAAGCTACACAAGAATTATCTGTTGTGAATTGGGCAGCTGAATTATTTGGAGATACTGATTAGATTTAGAAAATTTTTAAATATTCAAGGTAAACATATTCCTTATAAAAGAAAAGGGTAGCTGCAAGTAAAAACTAGGTTGGTTCAAAAAGAGTTGACAATTAAAGAAAAGCATCATAAATTTAAGAAATATAAATTTACTGGTATGACAGGAGACTTAGAAGATTATAGAAGATCAAGAAAGTTGGTGAAACAGAAAATTATGACATGTTTGTTTGTTTGTAATTAAGTACAAAGCTACACAATGGGCCATCTGTGCTCTGCCCATCATGGGTATCGAAATCCAGTTTCTAGCATTGTAACAAAAAAGATGTATTAGAAAAAGTTGGCTGAAAATGCAAAAATTAACTGTAAGGATTTCTTTGAATACATTAAGGGTAAACAAAATGTTAGGATGGGGTAGGACCCTTGAAGGATGATAAAGGAAAGCCTGTATCTGATGATTATGAGATGGTTGGATTATTAAATTTTGCTTTTTATTAGGTTTTTACTAATGAAGATTTAAGCATATTCCATATCTTGGGGGGGGGGGGGTTGTCACACAAGGAGAGGTTGAAATCTCTCTAATTGTTTTATCTTGAAAAAAGAAGAGTTAGGGGAATCTTATTGAGGTGTTTAAGATTGTAAAGGGAATTGAGAAACAGAATAGTAGAACTAGGGGACATATATATAAATGGTAGGAGTCATCTTTCATTATATTTTTCTAATAGGGTGGTTGGCTTTTGGAATGGGTTTCCTTCAGATGTTGTGGAGGCAGTAGATTAAAGCAAGTTTAAGAAAAAGCTTGATAAGTATATGAATGATAAGGGCTGGCTTTAAGATTTTTTCTAAATTCATTTATTTTAATTTACTTCAGAGGATGGAACAGCCAAGACAGTCCAATAAATCCCATGTTGTCTCAAAACATTACGTTATGTCTCATGCTGCTATGTGTCACATTCTCTTAAAATGCCTGCAATGGTCACTTACTCATGCAGAACTGTAAATCCCCATATAAATCCTTATTAAATTTTCAAAAAAACAATAAAAAAATAACTATTTTAACTCTATCCAAATCTAATTGAATATCAGGAATTGGATATACTAAATCCAACAAAAACTACTTTTTGTCTCATTGATAATAACAAATATATGTACTATGCACATCATCTGGACTGGAAAGCAATGACAACCAAACATTTAACTCAAATGTGGTACAATATATTTAATGCAATAACGTCAATCCTTAAGCTGGTGAACCAAGGAGGTTTCTTTTGTTGTTTTTTTTTACCTACAAAAAGTCAGTTAAGCCATTACCATACCAATCTTGAAAGTCAAGGTTCTGAAACGGAAAAACAAAGTTCAAGCAAAAGTTTTTAGTTGTGATGAGAGAAACCAAACCAAACTATCTAGAAGCAAACCCAAAAAGTATCTGCCATAAGGAGTGCATTTTTATTAATTAAAGTATAACAGCACACTCAAAGAAAAAATAGGTATAACAGAAAGTGAAGATTAGACATTTAAAAAACTAATTATTGGAGCAGGTTATGACCTAAGAAAACACGATAAATAAGGAAGGCGAACTCTTCCACAAGGAGAGAAAAGAACAAAGCATTGGGGATAGCATAAGAAAATTATTTGGTTATGTAAATATAACCTATCAGAGAAATATGTAAAAAGAAAAAACAACCAAATGCAAACAATGGTGTAAACATAAAGTACATATTCAAAGAAAAAGAAAAAACAAACAGCAATCCAACCTACTTTAATAAAGAAGTAAAAGACAAAAATTTTCACTCAAAATTAAGAGAATAAGAATTAAGTCCTTATTAACATTTCAAAGAAAAGAATACATCAGATTCTGACACGTTAACACACATAAATTATACAAACTGACAGAAACTTTTACAGCTCACCAGATAGGGGATTATTATTTTTTCTGTGAAAGTTAAATTGCAAATATGTTATTATACAATTGCTTGATTCAACAATATTTTGTTGAAAAAAAAATCAAGCATTTAAGGACAAAAAACAAAACTAATTTACATTCATATTTAATTATGCTTGTCATTCAACAATATGTTAGGCCTATTATTATTACTTGTAACACTCCATTTTAATCTAGTCCCTTAGAAATTTGTGAGAATAAGTAGACGATATAATAATATTTTAACCAGAGCTCTTCAGGCCAGCTGGGATACAACAAATACAGTAGTGGTCAGAACACCTTTTACAAGCTGGCAAAGCAGTATTATAATTAATTGTACTTGTACTTCTTTAACAATACATTCTTAATCTAGTGTTTTAAGGATTTTCAAGAATTAGAAAAATGTATAATAACAGTATTTCAACCACTTTATATTCATCATATCCACTGCTGATGAATAGTTTCACTCAATCCAGATCTCTTCAGATTGGCTGGAATAAGACGAATATAGTGTAGTTGAAATATTATTATTAGGCACTCTTCTAATTCTTTAAAATCCCTAAGGGACTAGATTAAAAATGTAGTGTTAAAAAAAAAGCTTAACATAATGTTGTACAACAAGTACAATTAATTATAATCATGCTTCACCAGCTTTTAAAAGGCATTCACATAATAACAACTGTTATTTTACATTCACTTACCCATAACTTTCTTGTTTGCTGATGGATCCAAGAAATCAACAATTTCCTTATCTGCATGTTCCTCAATCCAAGTTGCTCCTTTGACTTTGTTAGATAATCTTCTTACTGCTTTTTTTTTTGGTCTTTCTTTATTAAACATTTCCTCTTCTAAATCATCATCTGTATCCTGAAGTATTTCTTCAATCCTTTATTTAGAACAATATAAGCACATCGTCAATGAGCTGCACAATGGCTACAGAAAAGTGCATTAATAATTTATTATTAATTCTTTGAAAAATTATTGCTTTTAAGTGACATGAATATTTGTTTATTTAAAAAATTTTTGTGAACAGATATATAAAAAGCTATCTGTCCCCAGCTGTTCCTAATTTTGAACTAATAGACTAGAGGTAAAGCAGCTAGACAACAACACTTTCCATCAACTCTTGGTCTACTCTTGTCTGACTGAATAGAAGGAATTGATTGTAACTCTTATAGCTCATGCACTGCCTTAAGGTGCAGATCTTGTTTTTGCATCAGAGGGCAACATGATTATGAAAACATAACACACATGTATGTTTACATATCACAAAAATAGAAAACATCCAACTTCAATTTGTCAGTTATATTGAAAAAAATTCACTTTGTCACAGCTTACAAACATTTTTACTATTTCCATCAACTACTCGCAATATGGCTTATTTCTTAAATTAGAAAAATAAAACCCTTGTAGGTTTTGATATCTTGCTGGCTATCTAGTTAAGCATAACTTATTTTTGCTATAATCGTTCACTTTCTGTTTAGCTCTTTTAAACCATATATAAATATATCTTACACGTGAATCTTTCTTCCCAGTTTGAAAATAACTGATACATAAATATATCCAACATCATTTAGTTATGCATCTTTTGATTGTTTTATGCAGTGTAGTAAAACATTTTATTTACTGTCTCACCCGTTGGTAAACTAGTACGTGATGTAATCATGTCAAGATTAAAAAAATAATGTTCCACACAAAAATAAAAATTGTAATGGTCAAAACAGAAATAAACTATGCAAGTAAAAAAAACAACAAAACATGGGAGTTCCCATAATATAACATAAGTAAAAACAATAAAAAGTTCATAGAGATTAAAAATTTTTGACATAACACTTGATGATATGTATCTTACATTTTCAAAAAATTATATTTTCATGTTGGGTTTGAGTCTCATGAAACTTATGAACAACTTTATAGCCTTTTGAACATGGCAGCATGAGATAAATAGCTTCATAGTCTTTTGTACATGATGACACAAGGCAAGTTACTTCATAGTCTTTTGTGCATGATGTCATGAGACAAGTTACTTCATAGTCTTTTGTGCATGATGAGATGAGGCAAGTTACTTCACAGACTTTTGTGCATGATGATATGAGACAAGTTACTTCATAGTCTTTTGTGCATGATGAGATGAGGCAAGTTACTTCACAGACTTTTGTGCATGATGATATGAGACAAGTTACTTCATAGTCTTTCGTACTGATGACATGAGACAAGTAACTTCATATTCTTTTGTATGTGATGATACAAGACAAGTAAATTCATAGTCTTTTGTATGTGATGATACAAGACAAGTAAATTCATAGTCTTTTGAATGTGATGGTACAAGACAAGTAAATTCATAGTCTTTTGAATGTGATGATATGAGACAAATAACTTTTTAGTCTTTTGTAGGTAATGACACAAGACAAGCAACTTTTTAGTCTTTTGTACGTAATGACACGAGACAAGTAACTTCATAGTTCTTTGCATGTGTATACTGTGTTGTTGTTGGGCTTGTGATTCTTCTACAGTAGGTGTCTGTGACTTGTTGGCAATAAATTCAATGATAAATTCAAAATAATATATTCAGAACAAGTTAAATGTATGTACAACAAATTCTTTACATTATAGATATTATCATATCATAAACACTATATATAGTTCTCTTCTTGTCAAAAGTTCACTTAGGCCTATTCAATTGCTTTAGAATTTCAGTTGACGAGCCAAACAACCTTTCTCTATTTCTATTACACTAGTATTCTGTTTATAATTCACTTACAATTGTGGGGTGAGTTACCACAGTTGTATACTGCTCTTCCAGTAATTGTTTGGTCTTCTTTCTTCAAAATATCCTGTTTCTTTTGTCAAAATGCACTCAGGTTGATTCATTTACTTTAAAACCATGCTTTGATGGAATAAATTATACTTCTTATCTCCTTTTCTACTGTTAGTCTTACTCTAACATATTAAACGTTAGGTCTATCACTTCTAAGGCAGTTAACTTCATGCCAAACTTTTCCTTGGCCATGATTTTACTCTCTTCTACTATATACATGTTTATCACTAATTGTCTGCCCACCTTCTAGAAATCTCTATATTCTCAACGTCACTGTATTGCACATGACACTCAATAGTCTCAGCTTCAATAAATTATAAACACAACTTCCAACATCTGTCTGATTTTAACTCTCTTATTATAAAAAAACCCACTAAACGATTATAAAATATTAACTCACAAAATAAATTATTTAATACTACATACACTAGACAGTTTTATATATCATGACACAAGACAAGTAACTTCATGTTCTTTTGTATGTAATGACACAAGACAAGTAATTTTGTGGTCTTTTGTATGTAATGACACGAGACAAGTAACTTCGTGGTCTTTTGTATGTAATGACACGAGACAAGTATCTTCCTGGTCTTTTGTATGTAATGACATGAGACAAGTATCTTCGTGGTCTTTTGTACATAATGACACGAGGCAAGTAACTTCGTGGTCTTTTGTATGTAATGACACGAGACAAGTATCTTCCTGGTCTTTTGTATGTAATGACATGAGACAAGTATCTTCGTGGTCTTTTGTATGTAATGACACGAGACAAGTATCTTCCTGGTCTTTTGTATGTAATGACATGAGACAAGTATCTTCGTGGTCTTTTTTGCGTAATGACACGAGACAAGTAACTTCGTGGTCTTTTGTACGTAACGACATGTGACACGTAACTTCATAGTCTTTTGTACATAATGATGTGAGGTAAGCAAATCCACAGTCTTCTCTATGTGATGACATGAGGTAAGATCATGAGACTTTTAAACTTTTAACAAATATTGAAAAGTTAGAAACTTCTGTACAAAGAATGAAGGTTATGTTCTTTGATGACTACATGTTAATAAAATGCTGGATTTTACCAAGTGAACTTTCATAGCTAAAAGAAGATAATCTAAGTTGAGTAAAAAGAGAATAAAACATTTTTAACAAGTTGAGGAAAAATTTAGGAGGTATCTACAAGTTAAATAAAGTTTTATGAAAAGATTTATATTTTTTTCTTGTCACAAACCATTTCTGTGGTGTCATAAATCTACTTTGATTATATACTTGAAACTAAACTTAAATCAACACTGTAAAAATTATTAATCCTTAAAGAAATATGAGAGATAATTGCGATTCTGCTAATTAATGTTTTTTTGTATTTTGTTTGTTTGACTAAATCTATCAAAATTTTGCAATTATAAACATCATTAAAAATATTAACATATTCCTGCAAGTATAGCACAATGGAGTTCTGTGTATTCTTCACAATAATTGTAAAAATCTCTACTGATAATTGGTTAAAACAAGTTATCTCCTTTCTCACATAGCCAAAATGTAATAAATAATTATAAAACACTGACTTATTGTGGGTAAAAAAAAAACTGAATAATTTTACATACGATTCAGATTGTTTTTTCATTTTGAAAAAATCATCTTCCTCCCTTTCTTTTTCAGATTCCTTCATCTTTCTTTGGTGAGCCTTGTGAGCTTCTATTTTTCGAATGTTACTCAACATCTTGCAGTGTATGGGGGGAACCATTTTGGCAATCATTTCATATCTAAGTCACACAACAACCATTTTATCAAATATTATATTTTGCTGATGATATATTCCATATCCAATATCTTCAAAATTTCACTTAAATGTGCATCTAACAAAAGTTTTATCTTCTATGGAAAACTGTGATGAAAACTGCACAACTAATTTCATCCTTTAATACAAGTTAACTAAAAATCATCCCCAATTTTTATCCATCTCTTTCAGAAAACAGGTTACCAATGTTTTGCAGGTTATATTTTAATGGATTTTAAAAGTCTGTAAATCAAAAAAGTTAAGAATATTATATTAACATATATATTTAAAGCACAAAATCTGTGATTATTATGTAATGTACAGACTGGTAACCGGTATTAATATTCTACATGATCATATTTTACATTATCATTTTTTACGGCACAAAATTTTATGTTGTAATAACTGAAGTTTACAACAAAATAACTTAGGCTTTCTGTGAACTAAAAAACTGGATACTAAAATTGTTTAAGATAGTCCACATATTTTATCAAAGAAAATTTAAGTTCAGTAAATTTAATGTCATCTTATATTGACTACATGTAAATTTTAATACCATAAAAATAAAATATTTAGATTATATATTTTGAACAATTTAGATTTTCAACTGAACCATAAAACATATGTCTGAAACTCTGAACTGCTCTTACCCAAATTTTCTTACAAGTCGAATAAAAATCTCTTTAGTCTTGAATCGTAGCTGTCTCTGACTTTCATCAGAAACACTCACCAAACTTTTAACCTATAAGAATGGTATACAAGTTTGGGAACCAATTATAAAAGGGCACAATACTTCTATAATTAAAAATGTAACTGGAAATAAAATTACTTATTCTATATATCTGTGTTGTACTGTGTAAAATATACAAAAATAAATTAATATACAACTGTCTACATAAAAACCTTTTTCTCCATATATTATAAGAACTCTAAAATAAGCAAAACATTCTTACCAAAAATTCTACATGTTGAGCTAAATCATTCACACTGAGGGTTGAAAAGAGAATTTTCACAAAAGATAGTGCTGATTGAACAACCTCCCGGCTTCTTGACGTCAGCAAAAGACACATGTTTTCAACAAGTAAATGGACCAGTTCAGATGGCAATTGGTCTGATTAAAAGTAAAAATAAACAAAAATTTATAAAATCATTCCTAATAAGTTATTTTTAATGTAACCCTGGAATATTGCTATTAACTCTGTCATACTAGTAAGCACCTTTCATGTGTCAAGTGCACACCTGCATACCAAATTTCAAAATTTATGTTACAAAAATAATTTTACTTCTGTTTCAATAACTTGTAATTCAGTGTTTCAAAACTGATATTTTGTCATTTGTAATACTTACTTTAGCATATAATTTACAAAATAAAATTAATGTTCCAAAACTTTATGCAGCTTCGAGGAGTCTTTCCTGTAAACAATACTCTAACATATTACACATTAGGCCTATGTCAATCATTAGGTTTATCACTTCTACAATAGTTAACTTCAAACCGAATATTTTCTTGCCCATAACTCTACTCCCTTCTGCTATATTCTGTCTGCTGTTTCTGCTCGTCTCACACTATTTATAGATTTCTCATTTAATCATCTATCTGCCATCTAGAAATTTCTATATTCTCTATGTCAATGTATTGCACGTGACGTTTGATGGTCTCAACTTCAATGAATTATAAACACAAATTCCTACAATCACATTCTCCAGGAAGAATCAGGGTTCTCCAAAGAGCTGATAATAGATCCAAGCAAGAAGTCTCAAAGTCAACATTAATATAAGGATTTCTAACCTCCAGAGATATACCAGTCTGACCTTGTTGTAAGTATAGAATTGGTACCTCTCTTATTCAGTTAACTCTCTCAACACAGACCCCTCCTGCCATACCCACCTTTTACATCCTCTCTTTCACAATTCATTAATAGTTCTCTCTTATGTTTAATTATATATATTATCTATAACCAATAGAAAGTCAAGATTTTCATCTATCAAATGACATATTGTATAATGTTGTGTTCTGAACAGATAATCGTCATTTCACTTTGAGTACTAACATCATTCCTGTGCGAAAGTTAACGACTAGCTTGGATGAATTTGTAATGGCTCTTGTCACATAGTTAGAAAGCCAGGAAAATTATTAGAAGTGAATTTGTCTACTTTTTGCATGTTATTAGTCTGTATTCTTTGGTGTATTAGTTAATTAAGTAAAAATTGTTAAGTGCTTTACTATAATCACTAAAAAAAATCAGACTTAACTCTCCTCAACAATTGAGGGCAAGAAAAAAGAAGATTGGGTGAGTACTTTATTTCTTGTTTTTCATATTTATTCTTTACTTATTATTAATAAAAGTAACTAAAATTAAAATTACAGACATTTTTAAGTCATTTAAGACTAGAATAGGTAAAATAAGTAATAATAATAATAATATAATTAAAATGGTTCATGAAGCACGCACATGGGCAGCTCGTGAGTAATGTAATTCGATAGCGTAACGTGAGCTGCAAGTTCCCCCGAGTGATTTACAACTTATAATGGCACAGATAGCAGTTAGACATGGTTCAAACAGCAATAAAACAATAAAATTTAATTAAATAGATTTATAATGTTACAAACTAAGAGCTACTTAGGATAAATGAATGTAGTTTCATGTTACAATTTGAAGTCATTCTAG